TGGACTGAGGTCGCGGCTTGAGAATCGGGAAGAGGGGGGCTTGAGGTCGTAAGAGGGGAGGCGGGGCCGTGGCGCTGGGCTTGAGGCGTAGGGAAGGAGGGATGGCGAGAGTCCCGGGGGGAGGAGGCCTCAAGGTGAGACTCTGGAGCTGGAAGGGACACAAAGATGTTCAGTTAGATCCCACGAAGGTGTTGGCTATCCAGTCACAGCTTAGCAACTGTTACCAGCGAGAGCGGGTATGTTAGAGGCCGCAGAAAGAAAAGCTCTCTGAAGTAGATTTAGTCTCAAACGTCTGAGCTTTGTGTGTTTCAGACGACTGTGTAAAGAAGTCAGCTTGTTGCAGGTCAGTTCAAAAGATGCATTCACATTTGCTCGGCTGCTCACCTGAGCCGAGGCGGGGTTAGAGGAAGGAGGAGAAGTGGAAACAGAGGAGGAGGAAGAGGAGGAGCACGGCTGGGGCGGCCGCATAGCAGACGTAAGAATTAGCTGCAGGAGAAAAAGGAGGAAACACGTGAAGGAGGAGATGAACAGAGGAGAGCAGGACTCAAGCACAGATCTTGAAGCATCTTCTTGCCCTTTGCTTCCTTTTAATGACCTAATAAAACACCCATAAACATGAAGGATGGTTACTTTTTAAAACGGCTCAACATCAGATTTTAACCCTGGGGACTATTTTCTGCGGTGGATTAATACAACTGCTTCATATTCAATGTTTTTCAATGTTAAACAGACATTTTTACAACACATTTAAGTGTTTTAAATCCAGGTGTCAGATCTAGATGATGGAAATGATTTGTGAGATTAACCATGGTTTAATATTTCACTGTTAAAAGAACTTTTATGAACAGATAAATAACCTTTAGTCTAAAATAGGTTTCTGTGCAAATAATCAGACTCTGCAAATGATGTCAAAAATGACAATTTGATGGTTTTCACAGATGTGTAGTTTTGAGCTCATCAGTCACAATCAGGCCGCTTTGCTCTTTCTATACATGAATACTCGTAATATTTGGGGACCATCATCAGGCTCAGTGTGACTCTTCTTTAGCTGAGCACCACCGTCTGCCATCAGAGACACGATCAGAGCAGACAGAGATCTACAAAGATTCAGCATGTGGAACACTGATGATGCAAATAAGACAGAAAATCATTAAAGCTGTGAATTCATGAGTTCATTTATCTTATCGTTGACTCATCTCTACCGTGGC